ATAAGAGATGAATTAGGAACCTTCAAAAGGTCCCTTTCCAACTCTAGAGCCAAGAACGAACCGGCGCACGCATCGGTGAAGCTGGCCGCACCTGGGTTTGGCAAGAGGCCAATCGTGCGGTAGTCCACGTTGGCGACCACCCGGGAACTCGATGCAGCCCCTAAAGAACGAGCAATCCGGTAAGTCTCCTCCTTTGTGGAATTTATTTCGTCAGAAGAGCTCGACCCCGAATAAACTCGCATATTGCCATAATCCACAGGGCGAGAACTTAGCCGCAGCGCCCCGTTACCGAAGAGTTGCCCATGGACCAAATCATCGCTCAAGCGAATGTACTCCGCATAAAATCTAGACTTACCCTGCAGCTGAGAACCCAAAACATCAGGAGACACCACGGGACTAGGGACCAGGCGAGCAGAACCCACCTCTTCGACAGAAGCCAGCCTTCCCTTTTTCTTGCAGGTCTCCTTCGGGGGTTCGCTGGCCTGCGCGAATTCTTCTTCGCCTTCTTGGTCAAAAGGTCGCCGACGGACATAGTTAATGCAAGGACGAAGGTGTCGTTCACATCAACGACCTTGCCTTTACCAACCATCCCATCAAAGCTCGAAGATGCCTATAACATCAAGAGCAGCACCACATTAGCGAATAGGTAGACCACGAATGAACCAAAGTATGAAAGGCGGAACCGAAACCAACAGCAAGAAAAATATATAAGGAGAACCAAAAACACTACCATTTTGGTCCAGACTTGCCCAAATCGGCGAGTCTTTCCGATCATGACCTTTTTGCTATTCCCACTTTGTCAGCAATCTCTCTTCCAATCAACACATCGGCGGGCTCCACAAGGCCACGTCCCCGGCCGCCAAGCTTTCGCTTGTGGGACTCCATTGCAGCTGTGTTCGCCCCGCGTCCTGCCGTCATCTTCCACGCTCTGCCTCTTCGCCCTCGGGTCCCACGGCCATGACCACGGGGGGCAGCGTCGTCAGCCGGAAGGCTGGTCGAAGGGCCCGACCGATCAGCGTAGCACAGACCCATTGCGTCGAAGATGTGGTTTAATCACCTTTTACCAGCGAGGGATTGGCATCGACCTTTGTGCTCTCTATCACCGTAAAACCCAATAATTTCTTCAGCCCTGTGTTCAGTTAAGTTCACAAAGCTAAAGTCGATGGTAAAAGCATCCGACGGCGCAACATTAAGACGCGAAAAGACATAGCTGTCCCGTCGCTCAATATCAGAAAACTGAGTCTCGCTACTCAGTGGATGGCTTTCACAAGCTATCCATTCCTCCACTAAGTCATGGCTGGTCTAGAAGCGAGACGTCAGAGCGAAAGCATCTGCAGCCTTAGTATCACAGGGTCCGTCGGCCCGAATCTCAGCCAGGCGAAATCCCTCCATCGGCGTCATCTCCAAAACCAGTATATGCGCCTTCGGTAGATCATTCATCAGAGCTTCAGTAACATCCTCGTCAAAAGCACACGTGGTGATAGAACCAATAATCGGTCCAACGCGGCCATTTATTCCAATATGCCGGCACAATCTGCACGGTACCTTTCGTCTTCCTTGGAACGAAGTTGTATGAACCTTAGTGGGCCACCATCTCGACTTTGGTTCGCTTGTCCTTGACCACTTTCTTATGCAGATGAGTTTCATAGTATCACGCAAAAGTATTCACACTTAGGGCACACCCGGCCATTTTCAGTGCCATAGCGAACACGCTCAATATGGCGAAGGCATTGGGAGTCAGGTGATGGATCTGCAAATTGAAGTGTTGCAGAATTTCGCCTACAAAATCCTCACATGGAAATCAGAGTCCAGCCTCAAACAAATCACAAAAAACAACAGCTTCGTAAGGCTCCGGGTGGGGCACCTTTTCTTGTCCTGGAGCACGACATAAGCGGCGAAGCGTAGATTTTAGAAGCCCATGCTCAACATATTTGTCAAGATCCGCCTCTATAACGCGGGATCGACCTATCGATAGGTAGCAGGTGTCAAATCAGACTGGCCCTAGACGGCGGCTGGCACCGGCCCAGCGCTTTCGCCTTCCTCACCCTCCACCCCAATCTCGACGTCGACATCAGTCTCTTCGTCGGCCTCAACACGCGAAGGACCCTAGACGCTACCGGCAGGAGGGGCTGGCGCCGCGTTATTGCCCTGAGTATTCAGCAATTGAGCCTCCATTCTTTCTGGCACGCCTTGCGAATTAGTGCGGGACTCCGAACTAGAACTGTCAGATGAGCTCCCGCTGGACGAACTGGCGCCAGACGACGACTCACTCGACATCTATCCAAGCGAGTTCCATACGAAAACCCAAAAACAGGAAACAATAAAGAAGCAAAAAGAGCAAAGCACAAACAATACAAAGCGCACAAGAGTAGAGCAAAAACAAGCAAAGCAAAGCAAATACGAACCTGCGAAAAAGCTTGGCGAAGGTTGGAGTCCTGTCGGAAGCAACCAAGCAAGCGAAAACCCAAGAGAGAAGCCAAAGAGCGAAGGTCTGGTTCTCAATTGGGGTTGAAGATGAGACGAGCACGCACGGCTCCCCCGGCTCCGGGGGCTTATATAGGCGCCCCGCAATGTGGAGCGTGAATCGAGGAAACAACATGACGGTTCGCATAACCACCGCGACGGTTCAAATTTCGAGAAACAGTTACATGGCGTGATAACCAAAAAAATGAAAAACGGTCAGCACCAAAAAAAATAATTAATTAATTAATATATATATCAAATCAAAGATACGGACCTCCACCCTTTGCCTAGGACAGCGTTCAAGCCCCATGGCGCGTCAACCCCATAACTTCGCAAGGCAACCGCGCTCAGATCGAGAGCTTCCTCACGCGATGCCGAGGGGCTAATGTTGGGGGCGAGCCCCACCTCTGGGCACCCCATATGGCTCAATCGATGCCACGGCACCTCGCGCGAGTGGAATGACGGGAGTTAAGGGTATTAGCTCTCAGGCGAGAAGGCATGCGATAGGAGAAGAGGAGCGTGTCGAGTCCTCTTCTCGGAATAGCGAATGGGCGGACTCCGCGGCAAGGATCAGCCCGTGTCTAATTCCACCTTTCGCCCCAGCGAAAGGAGCGGAACCGGCTGGGATCGGCGCCACCATGGGGCGCGCAGTCAGTCTCGTCTATTCGATCAGGCGAGTAGCTGTTAACAGTTTGATTGATCGTTTCTGCAGGTTTCGCCAAAGGAGGGCGCATAGTTGATCTCGGCTATTCGTTCAGGCGAGTGGCTAGTAACGGTTTGGTTAATCGTTTCTGTAGGTTTCGCCAAAGGAGGGCCTGCAGTCGATCTTGGCAATTCGTTCTAGCGAATAGCTATTAATGGTTTGGTTGATAGTTTCTGTAGGTTTCGCCAAAGGAGGAGCCAGCCGCCTTCGCATGGCAGACAGCTTCTGCCGCTAGGGGTCCACCTGGTCGGTTGAACAGGCGACATAAGGTGGAGCCGGTCGGGCCTCTCCGGGCCAGCGCTATCTGAGGCGGGTGGGGACTCCAAATGGCGAACAAGCCCAAAGCTGCGGGGAATATTCTCCAAATTTGTAGTAGTTGAGAGTGCATTTACGTCCTATAAAAAGCCTACTAGCGTGTATAAATAGCCCCCATGGAGGGAATGTAAAGGGGGAACAAGGGTAATGAAATCGTTCATTTTGTTTCGCTTAGGCTTCATGTTTGCCTTCTTTCGTGCTTGATTTCGCTTGAGCGACAAACCGGTGTTCGAAGGCTTTGGCCTAGAACAACACCCATGTTTTTTAGAAGATTTTATTTTAGAGAATGGCTAAATCATGAATATGAATATATTTTAGCTAATCTCTTGGAGTTGCTCTAACTTGTGGAATCCACAAATTCAGAAGATCATGCTTAGTAGGAATGTACAAGTCCAACTAAATTCTTGACATGTCCAAATTATGCGTCGTGGCGGAACAAATCACGCATCCAAATAATGCCCGCAAAATTTAGTTACATGCTAATCAAATCATATCATGTTTGAAGTTATAAAACAAAAAGATTTATCATAGATCATGAATGTATCAATAAAAAAATTGTATCACAAGTTTTCCTTATTTATCATACTTTACAAAATAAAAAATTAAATAAATGTATATTTCACATATTATCTCCTATAAAGTAATACACGATCCTAACCATCCGATATAATTAAATGAACAACTCACACTCATTTGAGAATACCACAACAAGACCCATTTAATAGAGAAATGCTCATCTCTACCATCTCCAAATTCCTTCTCTATCAGAATTCAGAATAAGTTTTAGAGCCGATAGTCATACAGCTTCTAGGAGCTTATAAGGTCAGAATTGCTCTGGAATAGTCTGGACCCCAGAATCCAGAAGGGATTCCACTCACAATCGAAAAGGCAACTTCCAAAACTAGACTCAAAGTACTAAACCATTGATGAACTAATTGCATCACTGATTTTATGAATTACAGCATGATGAATCAAAGAAATCTAAATCATGCAAAACATGTTACATAAGTATCTTACAATCAGATCAATGAAGAACTACATCACAATCATGTGAATGCACAGTTTGCAGAAGCATCTCTGACGAATATACAGATATGGTTACCCTTCTAGTAGTAACCTATACACTTCCATACCATAAAGACTCCAGAATTACCCAGAGGACGACGAAAGGCTGTACTGAAAATCTGAGATGGGTAGATTATGATCCATGGCCGACTAAGAGGATCGATTGACGGTTCCGCAAGTATTATGAATATGAAGGGTAGGAGCTATGTTTTCAATATAGCCGAATTGCTCATACCATTGTAATATGATAGTGTCTTTTCACATACCAATTCAATGAATGGAACTGCATGTTCACCAAGACTGGTACTAATTGGACAACAGGTACCCATAAAAGTATTGTATAGAAGGCAAAACAACTTAATTCTGGTATTTTACTAATCTTATTTGAACAGCAAGTCTTCTAAGATAAACAGATGCATATATAAGGCTTACTATCTGCGCTCAGCAGTCAGCACTAAGATTGCGTAGGGTCAAGGACGTGTCCGGCAAAGAGGATAGCACCAGACAGTTCCTCCACCACGAAGAAGGCAAATGGATGGTCGGCGACGAAGTCCACACGAGGCGGAGGCTGCCGCCTCGGTCCACATGAAGCAAACATATGGCAACCAGTAACAGCCGCCGCTTCTGTGCCTTCCTCATTCACATCGATCACAGCCTTGTGCAGTACGTCCCCAACAAACAGCGGCTCATGCGAGCCGTCTTCCTCCAGCAAGTCGGGCAGCTCAGCTGCCCCCGAGAACACAGCCTGGACGCCGAGATCCTGGAGGTCCTTCCTCATGGATTTGGTGAAGGACATCTTGAACTTGGGAACCCGGAACTCACCAACCTCGACTTTGTTCAGCGGCAGGTTGTCCTGCAGGAAGCTCAGGCTGGACGCCACGGCGTCCATGAGGCCCTGCAGGCCGTCGCGCGTGTCCGGCAGGAGGACGCACATGGAGTATCGTAGGGGAATGGTCCTTGGAAGACCTGGCGCCCTGTGCATCCTGTACGTGTAGGGCATCCTGAGCACCTTGAACCCGTCGTGCACGCCGATGAACTGGCGTTTAGAACTGTTCATGAACTGGGCTGTGATGGAGCTGCCGTCGAGCCGGTGGAACTTGTCCTCCTTCGTCCTTTGCTTGTCGAATGGCGTGTCCCAGCTGCCCTTGAAGTAGATGGCGTTGGTGACCACGAGGCGTGTGGTGCTGTTCAAAGTTTTAAATAGCTGGCTATAGCTGAAGCTATAGCCGGAGATAGCTGCTCAACAAGGTAGAAGCTAAGATATGCAATTTTTAGCGCTATGAAACCAAATCAGCTAATAGCCGGAGATATCCGTAGATAGCCGCTATAGCTGGGCACATTTTAGCGGCAGCCCAGCAGCTTCTACCTCACGAGAGCCCAAGATTTTCGCCAGCCCAGCAGCGGCCCAGCAGCAGCCCCCACCCCCACCCCCACCGTAAGGACCCGGCAAGCAGCAAGCAGCAACCCTAGCTCCAAGTCCCATCCCTCTCGGTCTCTCTATCGCGCAAAAGGAGGCGGCGGCGGCGGCTGCTGCTTCTTCTGGGCTTCAGCGGCGGCGGCGGCAAGGGTTCCCCAAGCGGCGCGGTAGCCGGTGTCTGGTGCGACCATCTCCGCTCAAACTTGAAGCCATCTCTTCTCCTCGCGGCTTGGTAATCCACATACAAGAAGGCCACACGAGAGATCACCACAGCGTGGGCACCGCTTCCCCGTATGACGAGCTCGGGCGCGCCGGCATCCGTGTCGAGCTCTCCTAGTCCCCGGCGGCATCCCTCCGGGAGCACGCGTAGTTGGTGCTGGACCAAGGCGTCGCACTGCAGGCGTGGAGGCGCGCCATCCTCTCCGACCCGTACAACCTGATGGGCTCGAGGTCGGGCGCCAATGCGTGCGCCTACCACGGCGGCTTCTGTGTGCCCTCGCCGCAGGACCCCGACCTCACCGTCGTTGCCTCCATCGACCTCAACCACACCGACCTCGGCGGCCGCACCACCGTGGAGTTCCTCCAGACTGAGGACCACCTTCCGCACCTCAGCGTCCCCTACCTCCTCGCCGAGCTCGCTGCCATGACGCAGCGCCTACTCTCCTACCACCACCACCACCACGGGATGTGGCTACGGCTTCACCAATCTCTACTCCACCACGAGATGCATCCTCGCTAGTCCTAGCTGCTACTTTGAGCAAGCCAGGTGCTCACTCCGTTCATGCATCTAGGGTGTTCGACGAAATGTGGAGCTACCACTCAGTGCAGGTGCTACATTGACATGGCAATTCTCTGGGTGGTTGCTGTGCTTTGGGGTTCCTCAATTTCATGGGTAGCCGGTGAATCGATATTCGTAGTCTCTGCATATGCACTTGGATATTGTCTGTATAGAGTTTGCAGTCTTGATGTCAATGAGGCCACCACCAAATCAAATGATTAGTCAGTTTGTGAAGCCTGGACCAGCAGAGTGCAATCAAGATTTAATTCAACTGATCGAGCAGACAACATTGTATTGCAAATCAACTGCTCAGTTCCTTATACTGTTGCCGTCACTAGATGATGTTCACTGTTCAGCTTATGTCCAGAGTACTTGGCTTTCACCTTGGTGCCACTGTTTTGCGCCTCGTGGGTCTGTGGTGTTGCCACTGTCATGGACACCTGATCAGTGTTTGGTACGTTGGTCTCCAAATTCTAAGCTGTTAGTTGCAGCAGTTTTAGCACCTTGGGATCTTGGATGTTCTGTGCTGCAATTAGCATGGTGTAAAGTCTTCAAGCTAAGTTGTCCCTTCGTTTTTGTGCTTTTGGAAGAATTCTAGAACCCAGTGGGGTTAGCCGCATATACTTTCAAAGTGCTATGCAATGAAGCCAATGTGCAGTTCCACCATCTGGAAGTGTTCTGGTGCTTCAACAGAGGCCTGCTTCCCTTGGCAATGGAAATGAACTTTTCACTTCAGCTTTGTCAATGTGGTCATAATGGTAAGTCGTTCATCCACCAGGCCTGCATCAATCGACTCCAGTAGGAAACGGTGATTCAGACTTTCAGAGAGCCATCTGTTCCTCCAGATCCAAGCGGCGGCGGTGGCGGCGAGGGGGCCCCAAGCGGCAGCAGCTTCGTCTTTGGCTTCACCATGGCAGATCAACAAAGTAAGTGCTGGACTCTCTGAATTCATAAATCCATTTAGAGCAGTCTTGTGTGAGCAATGTGTTGTAGCGACTGTTATCATTGTCATAAATCCATTTAGTGCTGGAATCATAGTTCAATGTGTTTCAGTATTCTATTCCACTTGTGATGTAATGTACTCCTATGAACCTGTAATGTACTCTTTGAACTTGTTATGTATCAATTGGTAATGGTTATGAAGTTATGCCAAGGTCATGTCTTTTTTCTATTTTTTTTTTAAAAAACAGCTAAATGGCATAGCTGCAGCTATCTTCCACTATAGCTGCGCTTAGTTGTTCAGAAGGCCAGCAGCTAAGAGGCATAGCCGGTGATTTAAAACATTGGTGCTGTTCACGGATCCTGGAGCAAGGATAGAGTCGATGAGGTTGTTCGTTGACTCGGCGACCCAACTATTGATCTGGATCCTTGCTTCCTCAGCCTGGAAAATAAAATTTGATCGACCGGAGATATCTATGAATGCGAAACATTAGCAGATCGAACCATATGGATTTAATGCCGACTGACCTTGGTGAGGAAGTCGACGGCGCGCACGACGGACCTGAAGGACGCGGCGGCGACGGTCGCGCGCGGTACGCCGGCTTCAGCGCCTGGAGTCGTGCCACAGGCCGGACGCGTAGGACACTCACGCGCCGCCGTCCTGCGTGCTGGCCGGCGGGATGGACTGCTCCACCATGCCCCTCACGTTCACGTTGAGACTGTCACGGGACCCTGCGCCTAGCACGTTGACGAGCTCGCGGAGGGTCCTGCCCTGGGCGCCGGCGGCGACGAGGGAGAGCGCGGAGTAGATGGACAGCGGCGAGAAGACGAGGTTGCCTGCGGGGTCGCCATGCGCGGCGGCGAACTGCTTCGCGAGGCGGTGAGAAAGAGACGCCAGGCCGGAACTTGTGTGCTGCCGTGCGGCCGCCACTGCCGTTTCCATCGTGAATGAAGGAACACGAAGATATGTGCGACTACCGCGTCTGTAGACGTAACACGTAAGGCTGAAGCTATTTATAGTTACAAGTATATCGTACTGCTCCTCCTGGTTAAAGAGATCAAGAATTTTTCTGTTAACAATGAAGACAGAATGCCTTGTACTTCTGGTTTAAAGAACAGAATCACGATAACATCAGATTTTACGGGAGCACAGCCACCTGTTAGGAAGGTTAGGATGCGTGATTCCTTTTAGGGCCAGTTCGGTTAGTCCGGATTGAGGCGAGGAATTATTCTCACTGATCAATGTTATACAGATTAGACAACAAAATCGTTAAAGTCTTTGTTCCAAGCCTCCGAGGTAACGGAACAGACCCTTACGGGACAGCTAGCGCTGGCGCCACGACGCATCCAGACGCAACTCCTAGCCTGTGACTCCACCCATCCGATGAAACCCACGACAGAAAAACGATTGGAGCAGGTGCATCTGTCCCGCGCAATGGAATGGAGCGCGCGTCACTCGCGGCAGCCTGTCCCGGCCGCGCCGCCATCCCCACAGCGTCGCCGTCTTCCGCCGCACCCCTCCCCTCCGTGCCTGTGTCTACCGCGCCCCATCTCTTCCGTGCCCCCAATATCAGCAACATCCCGATCTACTTTTACAACATCGAGATAAAACACTTGCAACATATGTCTGAAACATATGAAACATTTGGAACATGCACTTAAAACATACGTATATAGCCATCGCAATATATGCAACATCTCGATCTACTTTTGCAACATTAATATAAAACACTTGCAACATACATCTAAAATATTTGAAACATACGTTTGCAACATACGCTATAAGCGCAACATCTCCTTAATGCTTTGGTGAATGGAGGCTCGTTGGCGCATGGAGGTCACCAGTGTAGAGCTCGCTGGTAACACAGAGCTGGGCGGCGGCACACGGAGGGCAAACTGGGGGAGGCAAGGTCGGTGGTGACTATGCAGACAGCGGGTGAGTGTAGCGGCGGCGGCATAGAGAGTGGGTGTGGGTGTGGGCGTGGCAGCGGCGACGACGTAGAGGGCAGGTGGGGACAACAGCGGTGGCACAGAGGGTGGGTGGGGCGGCAGCGACGCAGAAGCCGGATGCACGTCGTGCAAAGAGCGGGGAGCGGGTACGCGTGTGTTTTGACGAAGCGTCGTCCGTCCATCCAGACGTCTGGTAAATAGCATTCCCGTCCTTTTAACGTAAAAAATTGATTAATTCCTTAATTACAGCTCGCCGCTTTACGTTTGGCATTTTACATAATGTAAGTTATGAGTTTATGTGTCACTCGAGTATTCTTTTAAGTTGTCCGTAAAAAAATTTAAATGAGTTGTATTAGAGGACGAGGAGGATAACACAATTTTTTAGACTTGAATAAAAAAATTGAATAGTTAAAAAAACTAATATTAACGCACTCGTAACAGTAAGAATTAGCTACTAGCTCTAAACCAACCTATCTAATAGTATTAGCTTTTAGTAATAGTTCATAATATGATTAGACCCATATGACACTCTTCAATGTTCTTGGAATGTGTGTATGAGCCTAGCTCTTGATCAAGAGCTAGCTTTTCTCTTTCTTCTATTAAAATACGAAGAAAAATGCTTAGAGTTAGCTTATGAGCTGCCCATTGCGGGTGCCCTTAAACACATGTTACAGTGAATATTCTTGTTACGAGCGACACCACCACCTCCTCTACTCCTCCCCGGCCACGTGGCTGCCAGAGTGCTATGCTGCCAACACGTGCGGACACAAGGGCGGCAGCAGTGAGGTCTTCTCCACCTTCAAGGAGCCCCCAAAGCCACCAGCCCTCTAGGAGGTCAAGACGCTGGTGTTTCGTGGTCCCACCACCACCACGGATGGATCTGCGCGCCACAATTGGATCCAGTGTCGTCGGCAGTGGGGGAGGTATGGATGCGGCGAGCGTGACAAGAAGAGCGCCGCCGTGACCTCTCCTCACTACTCGTCATCGGCATCGGCAGCGCACCACTAGAAAATTTTATGTGGCACCAAATTTTTGATATTTTAGAAATTAATTATTGGAAATTGCTGGAGATGGTCCTACTTAATGCTCTCAAAACTTTTTGGCGATTTAGCCAACTCCTCGATCCTAGAAAGAAATTCTTGCGAACTTTTGGAGATGCTCTAAGAAAGAGGATGCTTTTTTTACAAGATCTCTTACAAGTTATAGATATAGGATCGGAGATGAAGGAGATCTGCAGCAACACTTCCATCTCCTAAAATACTACATTTGAGATATAGAAGATTATCTATATCTACCCTACTAATTCATCATCTTTTTCTTTGCTAAACCCACCCTAGAAAACGACCCCCACTAAGAAACCCTCCCTCCATCCACCTAGAAAATTGCACTCACAAAGACCACCTTTAGAATGAACCGTCCAGATTGTTTTTGAGTCTTCTCTCTCTTTGCTCACTCAAATCTAACCGACAAGATTTTATCCTCCTCATCCCTTCAATCCCCCGTGCCCATGCCCAGCCCCCATGCCCATGCCCGACAGCCAGGGTTCGATCTCTGGAGTCGTCTTTTTTTCCGTCTACTATGCTCTCGAGAGACAGCGAAAAGAAGAAAAAAAAAGACCACGCAGACTTTCGTCGCCGCCTCCTACTTCCCGACGTGGCTAGGGTTAGCCAGCCGCCACCATGCCTGATCCGACCGTCGGCGGCGCGGTGTAGACGCGTGTCGGACATGGCGCACATCGCTTCGTCTCCAAGCTCACTCCTACAGGGCGCCGGCATCGGTGGTACTGATACGGCGTGGCCCGTGCCTTTTCTTCTCCAGTTCACCGCGCGTGCTCTCTCTCGTGGTGACGACTAGGTGGCCGCCCTATGCTAGGTGCCCAGATCTTCGTTAGGCCCTTCGCCAGGTCGTAACCTGGCACTTTGCCGGCGAGGAGAACCACCAGGTGTGCCAATCGCTTCTCTTCCCTTCGTTGTGCGAAACGGATTGGAGCAACCAAACCCTGTTGAGCGGCTATTTGTATTCGGATCTGATCTAATTACATGTGTGTACATGTATTACAGCTTTGAAATAATTATGTTTGATATGAAAACATAATGAAACATTTTCTTTCATTGTTGAACTGTACTTAATTTGGCTACCATATTTGTATAGATCCCATCAGACCATCACTTTGCTAGCATTGTTTATCTGTTATCTTCGTCCTTTGTGCTAACAAGTCATCTTTTCTGACGTCGGTTCCTTCTGTTGAGTTATCCTTCATATTGTTGTTATCAATATCATTACTGACTCCTCCATTCCCATAGCCTGAATTCAAAAGGAAATATGCATCACATAGAAGACCAACACATGGCTGCTGTGGGCCAACAACTGTCCCCACACACTATGGCTGGAGCTAGAAGAATAAAGGAGAACAGAGCAAGCACACACAATACAAGACACCAGCGTTGGCCGAAGCCCTGTCTGTGAGATGGTAAATCTGAACTCTCTTTACTGAGTTACCGTGTATGTCTATTTATACAGCTCTATCTATCTAGTCCTAGTACAGCGCACATGCTGCAACAGTAACTATATAACACATACATGGCTGACTCTGCGCCGGCCATTGCATGTTCCTACAGTGCTGCAGGTGAGCCGTGCGGCGCCTGCACCTGCAGCGGCTACAGTATCACAGCAGGGGGCCTTTTCGACGCCACCTTCCCTTGCTGTGTTCCCACAAGGTAGCAGTATATTATCTAACAATCTTTCCCTAATCCTACTGCTAACCCTTGTACCGCCTCTATGCCGATCATCTCCTTCAGCCCCGTGAGTCGAAGACGTCCGAGCAGCTTGGTGAGGACGTCCGCGAGTTGCCGACCAGTTTTGACGAACTCGATGATGATCTGCCCTCCATCGACACAGTCCCTGAGGAAGTGGAACTTCACATCGATGTGTTTACTTCGGTCGTGTAGAACCGGATTCTTCACGAGGGCGATGGCGGGCTGGTTGTCCACCATCAGTGCTGGTGGGTGAGCTTCCACACCGGTCCGCTCGCCCAGCAGCCGGCATAGCCATACAACTTGGCATGCCACTGTGGCCGCCGCTACGTACTCTTCCTCGCACGTAGATAGCACCACCACCTTCTGTTTCAGCGACAACCATGAAATTGGGGCCAACCCGAGGAAGACGAGCATGCCAGAGGTGCTCCGTCGTCCATCGATGTCCCCCGCCATGTCTGCATCGATGAACACAGTGAGCTGCAGCCTACTCCCGCCGGTCTTTGGGAAGATGATCCTATGATTCACCGTCCCCTTGACGTAGCACAGTAGCCGCTTCACCGTAGCCCAATGATCCTCTCTAGGAACCTCCATGAAGCGACTGACGTAGCCCACGACGAACGCAATGTTCAGCATTGTGTGGACTAGGTAGCGCAGACCGCCGATGATGCTCCGGTAGAGTATTGCATCTACCTTCACCGCGGTGCTGGCCTTCGTCAGCTTCAGCCGCTCCTCCATCGGAGTCACCCATGGCTTGCATTCCACCATGCCGCTCCTTTCCAACAGCTTGGAGGCATACTGTAAGGTCGAGATGGCGACTAGAGGGGGGGATGAATAGTCGTTAATAAAACTTAATCGCGTCGGCTAACTGAAACAAGTGCGGAATTAAAACTATCGGTCTAGCCAAGACTACACCCCTCTATCTATGTTCTCTAGCACCTTCCAAAGATACTAATTAGGCAACAAAGGTGCTGGGCTAGCTAGAGCTCACCTAATCAATTCTAGAAGCAAGGTCACACAAACCCATGCCACTAGTACTTTAAGCCACGAGGGAGCTCCTACACATACTAGTAAGCAAAAGCACAAAGCCACCTAAGCTCACTAGCAATGCTCAATAACAAGGCAACCAATGCCAAATTAGAGAGCGCAATTACTTAGCTACACAAACTAAGCAATGTGACTAACAAGGTTACGCAAACCAAATTAGCCACGCAAGGGAGCTACTTCTATGCTACACAAG